TGTATTTAGAACAAGCCATTTTTCCCATTTAATGACTGTTGGAAAGAAGCTCATTGTAGATGCTGACCTAGGTTTTGTTTTGTTGTCTTATGTTTGTTTTTTTTGTTTTTTGGCATTGTGTGAAAGCTGAGTTTTTGTGCTACAGCTGTATAACATGTCTTTCGTACTCTTTTTGTCACTCTTTGAAGCTATAGTGTATCCATATAGTATTAATAATTATTATGTCTGTAGGATAAAGAGTGTCATCTTTGCAATTTGTTGGGGGAAAAATATATATATTAATTATCAAGGATATCACTTGGATGAATCAACCTTAGAAGTTTCCAGTGCCTAGCAACTGGCTTTTTCAAGGCAGGTTCATGAACAAAACCATACACTGTTGAAACACTCAAAAATAAAATTAGAATGACAGACTTAAGCTTGCTACCATCAAGACTAGACTGCAGTGTTAAACATGGTCAAAAAAGGGTGAGAGTGACCTCGTAACAACTGTACTGTTAAGTTACGTAATGCTATAAAACAGCTAAAGTGTATTGTATTTTATCCAGGAAGTTCAATGTGCAGACTAACTTAAGTAGAGGTCTTTGTTTGTCAATTGAGTTCCACATTGATGGACTGTTACACCTTTGTTAATGTCACTTGAGGAGTGATTTTTATTGCTATTTTACTTTCAATTGTAGTTGTAATGGTGACCATATTTTGACCATACTTTGCTATTTTGTCTTTTAATATTTTCTCATACATTTTGTACATACATGTATCAATTTTGTTGATCCAGTTTAATTTGAGTAGCAGTTTACAGCAACAAAGGTAATTTTTCTGTGTTGTTGTTGTTGTTGGTTAGGTCAGATCCTGAAAAGATCAGAGACCTTGAGGATGAACAAGAGGAGTTGAATGGCTCTCTACTTGCTCTCACAAGCCATTTTGCCCAGGTACATGGCTGTTTATTTTTTATTATTATTACTTCTTTCTTTGGAGAAGGATGTGTAATGTACTTAAATGGAGTGTGCATGCTTGGAGCTTCCAAAATTTATAAAAATAATGTCTGGGCTAAGACTCTTGGTGAAAGACTCATTTAATCTAACCCTGGATCATTGATAATAGTTTAAAACAATGATTGGTAATGGCTGCTGAACCTCACTTTGTTGTGTTCTTTACACATGTACAAATAGGTCCAGTTTCGATTGAAGCAGGTTGTTGCTGCTCCCGCAGAGACTAGAGAGGTTTGTTAAACACACTGAACGAGATGTGCATGTCTAATCAGATATTCAGACCAATCTTTTCTTGTAATGCAGGGAGAGAGCAGGGCCCAGTTGTTGGAAGGCCGATTAGTGCCAACCCAGGGTTAAATTTTAATCTAGGTTTTTTTATTTCTTTTATCCAAAGCCTTTTAGGGAAAAATTTCCCTATTCTTTTTTGAACATCCAACGATGAAATTGCAAGCAAAAAGATTTTGTGTTAATTTTCTTTGAAAGCTTTAAGACCTGATATGAAATTCCACCCTAACCCTGCATTATCTTAACCCAGCTTTGAACAACTCGGGCCAGGAGTCTAACTGCATGATGTTCAAATATACGAAGAAAGCATTGTGTACAAATTATTCCTTTAAGCCTCCAGGCAAAGTTTTTCTAAAACTTTCATGTGATGTGTTAAATAAATGCAACACTTTTTCATGGTAGTAATACACATGCATGCATTCTTGTCTACTTTTAATTTTTAATTCCATATTAAGCTGTATGTTGTGGGTTAAATTGATATCAAACTAGGTTGAATGTGCTTTTATTTGTTAAAGAATAATGATGGTATAGCTTGAACAAAGAAAATTCAAATTTTACTAGTTGAAAATCATCTCGCCTAAAGCTAAATTCTTGTGAAGCTGCAATACAAACTATGGAAACCGTAACAATTCACATGTGATACATGTACATGTAAGTACATATAGTACACTATTTGTGCATACTCTCTAGAAATTATACAGTAATATCTAAAATATTTGTGTTTTGTTTCTTTGTTAGCGTTTGTTGATGGAATTGGAAGAGTTTGCTTTCCAAGGATGCCCTGATGTACGTGGTCCAAAAGCAAAGGAAAGTCCAAAGAAGGCATTGAATGATAATGGTGCAGGAGAAAATGTAAGTTTGGAAACATTTGTTTGGAGTGTCGATTGATGGGGCTGCATTAGCTTAGGAATACCGAGTATGTTCACTTTCAACCTCTAAAGATCCCGTCAAGGCTTTCAAAGATTGACATGAGGCCAAAGTGAAGATTATGCAATTATGTAGTCTGATTGTGCAAATAAGAGTAGTCCTGAGAGGGAATTAGGGACTAATGTGTAGACAACCAGAGGGGAGGTGGTCTGATCCAAGGCTAGTAAGAAGTTGCCCATCAGTCAAGTGTTATTTACAAGACTGACCTACAAGTTTATGCAAATCAGGCTTACAGACTACAACTGTAACATTACTATAATAATAATAATTGTTATTTAATTTTTGAAAATCTCTTTCATTTCAAAGCTCACTTAGGGTTTTTTTCCTTCCAATTGCCTACAACAGCCTCCAAAAGCTCTTAAATTAACTTATAGAGAGTTTCAAATAGCTGTTGTCATTAGTTAAAAATTGGTTCATTTCCAGCAAATTCTTACCTTAACCTTGAAGTTTGCATGTGAATATTTTTTTTATCCAATAATAAGTAACATGAGGGTTTGATGGAACAAAATGCAATTTTTCTACAAATGTAAGCCAAGAAAAACAACCCCTGTAGAATGCTATAAAATTAATGTAATAATTATCAATAATAAAATGCCCAAAAAAGTGTCCTCTCCAGAATTCAACAAAAAGTAATGACAGCCCTAGCCATGACATCTGGGATCATCTTTTTACAAATTTATAGATGGCACTAGATTTTCAGTCCACAATTTTTTTACCAAATTGATGTCTTGAAATGATTCATTTTATATAACTTATCTTTTTCCTCAAATATTTAGAACTTACAGGAATATGAACTGAAGCTGAGTGTGGAGAAAAGGAAACAAGCTAGCCTGATAGGACAGCTAAAAGATCAGTTAGAAGAAATGGAGAAATGTGTGGCTATGGTAAGATTAACACTTGTGGTGATATTACATGTACTTAACAGAAATATTAGAAATTTATAAAATTAGCAATTTGAAAAATTGGTTTGAATCCAGGATAGTCAGGTTGTGGATGGGTGAGAATACTATACTTTTTTTATCCTTCAACTGCTAAGAGTGCTAGTCGCATCTTATTTCTCCCTATAATATCACCCCTGAGTCTCATGTTGAGGTCATGAGAATAAAGGAAATGATCACCAACTAAAGAAGTTCTTGATTGTTCAACTAGTTCTCCTTGTCAGAAAGCAAGGAATCATGTAGAGAACAGTAAGGAGATTATGCATACTGATGTTAGGGTGCAAAGGGTTAAAATGTCTCTTTCTCCTTATCACCTTTCTTCATGTAAATTCTTTTGACATTGTGAGGAGAAATTGCTCATTGGTCACCCATGGAATGGACAGGTTTAATAGCAATAAAGCAATTTATTGATAGTCAAAATGTGTTTCCTAACTAGGGAGCTTCTGCAAATGTGAATGAAGAAATAAGCCCTGAAAAGCTTGTGGAGAAGCAACGGATTGTGATTGAGGAATTGAAGTAAGTCCAACTTTGTCAAGTAAACCTTGGGTTTTTAACACAGCATCAGTTGATAATTTACATGTATCTTTTTTCACAGTTACATGTACATTATTTGATAAATTCTAGACAACATGTTTAATAATCTATGGGAAATTTTTTCATTCAATTTTAAAAGCCAACAAAATAAATAAATGTTACCGGCAATTAAGGGATAATTTACATGTAGCATGACTTAAACTCAGGATGAAATTGTATATTTTTTTCTATTGAAGGCAATTATATTATTTAGCTAATTGTTTTGATTATAAATGCAATGCATGATTGTTATTCAGTCATGAGACAGAATTTAAAGTTTTAAAGATTTTCATGAGCATATTGATAATACTGTTGACAGAATTAAATATGAAATGCACATAACATATTTTTTAAACTTTTTAATATGTATCTTTAAGTTAAACTGTTTCTTGTTTAAATTTTTAAATTGCTGAAAATAAGGAAATGCTAGTTGTTCAAAACTGACAGTTGTATGATGATATACATTTACACTGTTAGTACCTGCATGCAGTAAATTTGTAATCAACTTCATGTGAAAATTAGCACAAGCATGTTAACATGGTCACGCTTAGTCGATAGGCTTCATAAATCTTTTTTTTATTTATATAATAAAAAATGAGACAAGTACATAACTATTAAATTCTTAATAAGCAGTGCTCAAAGGACGGTGGCCTGTGAACTGGTGTTATTGGGGATGAGACTTGCTGCGGCAGATATACGGTATAAATGACAGTAAACTTTTAAACAAATCTGATAAACTTAATAACTTCATAAATGACCCCAGACTGTTGATTGTGATTGCATGGAAGAGAGATAGGTGTCATGAAAGAAAGCAGTTGTTAAACTATAAAAACAGGCATCATAACCAATCTACAGTGTGTAGGGTCATTCTCATCTAAATGATCAAACTCAATCCTTTAACTCCCATGAGTGACCAGAACAGAATTTCTCCTTACAATATCAACACAATATCAATCAGATAAGTGATGAGAATAGAGAAATATATCAATTGGGGGATAATTAGTTAATCCAATACTAAATTCTCTGAACTAACATTGAAAGAATTGTATGGTTGACAGTAAGGAGAATTACAAATTTCATCTGAGAGTTAAAGGGTTAAAGCAATGAATAAACTATTGGATGTTCAATTTAAAACTTTAAAACTTTGATCTAACCTCTAAACTATTAAAAACAAAAATGTATGAGATATCTAAAATGTTAGAATGAAAGAGTAAAAGGAGACTAAAGACTTGATATGTAAAATAATGTTACATTTTGTTCCTGACGTCAATCTAAGTTGTCACCTCAATTGTCATTATAATGAAAACTGTCTAAACGAGTGATTTTAATTTTAGTTTATTTAGTAGATATTGTTTTCTTCTATTAGGTTAAACAGATATTTTTGTTTGAATTTGAAGAAACTGATGATCTTGTTTAAATGCAAAAAATGTTTATTTTCTTAAGGACAAAAATGGGTCTCAACTTAGATGGAATAGAAAAATTAAGGTGAGGACAAGTTTCATTCATCTTTGAAGAAAGACAAAAGAAACAAGAAAGTCACTAGATGCATGCTAGAACTGTTCCCTAGCAGTGCTGGATCCTTACTTTAGCTCTTAGATGCCTGGGGAATCTTGGTCTTTCTGTGAAAAGCATATGTTGGGCAATTTTTCTCCTGGGTGACTAGGGAGTCTTAGGTTTTATATAGAAAGCATATGCTGGACACCCTGGATTTCACAATTTCAGAGAACTGGGCTCCCTTCAATTTTTTATTAGAGCACAACCTTGCATACAAATAAACAGCTATTTACTATGTGATGTTGTATAATGTTTGTTGTTTTCAATCTCCTTTAAGTTTTATACTTAAAATCTAGCATTTTCCACCATTTTTCAGTTAGGTCTGGTTTTTAGATGCTGAACTTTTCCAAACCAAATGAAATTTTATTTTGGTTTGACCCATAAACAAAGCTTCATGTCATGTTTTGTGTATACCCCTTGTTAAGTTAGACATCAAACTTGATTTGATAATTAAATTGTGTTTTTTATGTTTTTTTTCTAACTTATGTTACTGATACATTATTATTCAGATTTAAAAATTGTAAAACTGTCACAAATTTTAGTGAAACATGAATTTAACAATAACTCGCTGAAGGCAAACTGAATATTGCTCATCTCGGGGGATTATTCAACAATATTCACTGAGTCTGAGGTGAATAATTGTTTTAGTATAATAGCTCAGATGCTTTCTAATTCTGTTGTAAATTTGATCTGTTGTTGAAACCATTCTGTTACAATTGTTTTGATTACTGGTATCAAGATGAGCAGCCAGATTTCACTAGAATTTTATAGGCGTATCTAAGTCAATCAGCAAAAACTTCATATCTTTCATTTGAAAAGTGGTACACCAAACTTAATACCATCTTTTGTGCTCTTCGAAAATGAAATTTCTTCTATTGCACTCATCACTTCAGCTGTAACTTTGAGGAAATGCAAGGCAGCCATTTTGAAATCTAGTGCCCCTGCTATAATGTCCTGCACAAGGTGATTACAGCATGATATGATGTAATCCTCAACCAATTGAAGTGTGCAAATCTCTATAATCACTGGAGCAATTATACTAAAGTCAAATTATCCCAATAGAATGTGTATTAAAAACCTTTGTCATTTCTCTCTGTGTTTTAGCAATGATGATGTACGAAAAAATGTTGACAGTGCTATAGGAGAGGTAAGAAAATTGAAATTAAATGCAGTTCTGATAGAGCCTTATACAAATCATTGTCTTACTTGGAAATGTGTGAAGCATTCTTGACTGTACAAGTTTAATTGCTGGAACTAATTATGTTTCATTTTGGTTTTCATGACCAGCTGATGAATCCTGTCAAGACAAAGGTGGGGAGACTATAGCTACTGTTGTAAAAAATTCTATTTGCTTTTAACATCTTCTTTGTTTTTTTTGTTGATCAATAGTTTACTCTTTTCATTTAGGAAGAACTTGTTAAACAACTCACAACTCAAATTGCTGATCTAGAAAGATTTGTCACCTTTTTACAAGGTTTGTGTTTGAAAATATATGTTTGTTTAATTACATGTTTTTTTAAGCTTTTAGCCACTGGTTTGGTAACCCTTATAATTACATGTAATCCTTTAACCCCCAAGATCTGGTTGATAATTCTCCTCTCTAGCTGCTACACATTTCCTTGTAAATAAGTTACAAGAATTTGTTGTTAAATCAAGGTAACAACTTCTACCTGATAAGTTTGAGTATTTTCATTACCCGTTAGCTGGGTAATGTTTGGATATTATAGGGAAAAGATACATATGAATCGCCTCGAGGAGTGCTTCCCAGGCTTTGTCCTTATCGTGACGTTTTCCTGAGAGGGTTCCAGCGTCAGTTTCTTTTCCTGGTAGTACAGAGAGACATTGTAAGAACGAAGTGTTCTGAACTATCATAGCGACCTGAAATGGCTTAAAAACACGAGCCTTTGGATACAGAGTCTTGTCTAATAACCCTTTGTAATTTGTAATTCTCCTTACTGTCAACCATACGATTCTTATAATGTTAGTTCAGAGAATTTAGTATTGGATCGAGTAATTATCCCCAAATTGATATTTTTCTTTATTCTCATCGCTTATCTGGTTGATATTGTATTGACATTGTAAGGAGAAATTTTGTCTTGGTCACTCATGGGAGTTAAAGGGTTAACCACTTGACTACTGCGTTGCTACACGCGTCTCTTCCTTCATAATTCATTTATTGTCTTACAGGAGAAGTTGAGAATGCAGAGGAGCGCACTGAACGAGCTAAACAATGCCCGTGCCCTGTACACGCCAAAAGAGGCGGAAGAAAGCAAAAAGATCGACTGAGGGTAAATTGTAAATTTCTTTGATTGTAAAACATGGTGGATTATCTTTCTGCTATTTGAAAATTTATCAAAATATGTAGAAGTTGTCTATGAACAAGGAAGAATTCGATGAATGGACATTAACCGATTAAAATTTATCCTTCGCCAACACTAGCATGAAAGTAAAGCCTTTAAAAGACTTCTCAATTTGTAAAAGATGTTTTAATTGTTAGTTCGTTTGATTGTTTACTTATTAAAGGGTAAAGGAGCGCACAGATCAATGGAATATTCATCGGAGAGCGAAAACAAGCTGGATTATCCGTGTGACTACAGCTTACAAGAGGATATGTCTGGCAGTGACGATGGTAATGGGTGCTGTCTTCACGTGCCTCCCGTCCCTGAAACACCAGAGCAGGTCCATAGTAAGGTGAGATATGACTCGTATAGTATTTGTACACCCTGTAGTATTATATACTACTGTAGCTTCAAATTGTAAGTCTTCCTGTGTAGCTTTGTGTTTCTCCGCTAAATGTCAGTTCAAGTTTAGTTACTTGCTGCTTGCGAGTATTGATTTTTCATTCCTTGATTAGTTGATAAGCAATATCTCAAATAAACTTTCCTTTTTTTTCTCTTTCAAGCAGAGAATCCGAGATGCAAGCCTGGCCATAATCAAAAGAGCACTGGCAATTTTACAATTGTTTGCGATAAGGTGAGGCAAACTTTAATGAATGACTTTCTTTTAATTCTTTCTGCAATAAGAAGTGAGGTTTTCAAAAGCTAGAAGCGCGTTTCTCGTTATGCAGCCTGGATTTAAGTTGTGGTAAGGGAGGAGTTGTTTGTCTGTCGAGTGCAATAAATATTATGTTTTGTGAAAATGTGATTGTTCAATT